ACCTTTAGCCCCATGTTGAAGATATACTCCTAAGTGAAATAAATAAGTCACACATGTGTAAATACCAACAGTTTCTCTGGTGTGAATAAACTGCAATAATACATAAGATCCTAATAAGATTACTGACATTGTGAAATGGGAAGAAAGGGGCTAAAGTCATTTGCTATTTAAAAAGCACTTGTACCTGTCCAATGCAGTCAGCCCTCCACATCTGCAACTTCTCCCTCCGCAGATTCAACCAGCCACAGACTGAACATATTTTTAAAATTCCATCTCTACTGGATATATATAGACCCTTTGCTCTGGTTATCATTCCCAAAACAAGAAAGTTATTTGCATAGCATTTATTTTGTATTAGATATTATAAGTAAGCCAGAGATGATGTAAAGTGCAGTGGTACCTTGGTTCACAAATTCAGTTCATTCTACGATTCTGGGGAGGATGGCAGCATTCGTGTTCCTGCAGGGAAGATGGCTGTGGTAGTATTCATCCCTGGATGTGGAGTTTGCAAGCAGAAGTGAAATTTTGCTGAACACTTCTGTTTGCCAACTGAATTATTCATGAAGGGAAGCGTTTGTGAACATATATGTAGATGTATGGGGGACATGCATAGGTTCCGTGCAAACACTTCCCATCTTATGTGAGGGATTTGAACATACATGGGTTTCAGTATCTGCACTGGTCTTGAAAGCCATCCCCCATAGATACCAAGGGGTAACCTTATATCTTGGAATAAAACAAACGAAACCCTTCATTCTTGTTGAGTTTATTTTTTATTCAGGAAGTAGACAATAACAAAAATACATAAAATGTAGGAGAAGTGCAAAGGAAGAAAAATAGAGCAAGCAACCACATAAGAATTTATCGGGGATGTGAAGAAAGGTTGAAATTTTAGATAGGGTGACCAGGGAAAGCTGCAATGCAAAGACGATATTTAAATAAAAACCTGAAGAGAATGAGGGAACAAACGATCGGGAGACTAGCCGGAGAAAATTCTAGGTAGAGGCTATAGCAAGAGCAAATATCCTGGGACAGGAGCACGCCTGAAGTATCCAGTGAGCAGCCAGGAGGGAACAGTTGCTGGAGTGTGAGAAGAAAGGGGAGTAGAGGATAGTGTTATGTAGCTATTTCGGGACTAGATCATAGAGGGCCTTGTTTTGAATTGGGAAGAAATGATATGATTTTCAGCAGAGAAAAGACATGACTCAAGTAACAGTTTAAAAATTCCCTCTGGCTGCTATATGGGGTACAGACTATGGAGGAACAAAGGCAGAAGCAAGAAGACCACTTGGGTTGCTTTGGCAATAATCTTAATGAGCTGATGGGCCACATTATATCAGAGGTGGTGATGAGCCATGCTTTGATTGTGAGTCTGTTTCCTTTTGAATGGAATATCAGTGGGACTTGCTGATAGACTGGTTGTGGGGTGTGAAAGTTGAAGGGTGACTTGACGCCAGAGTCTTCACTCTGAACCATGGGAAAGACGGCAGGAGGAACACACCAGTGTATGTGGGGAGGGTGAACATGTGGATGTCAGATCTGAACGTGTGAGCATTGTGCTTACGATCTGAGCACTTCCCTGGAGAAGAGATAGAGATATGGATTCCAGAGGAGATCCGGAATGGAAGCATTCAGTTACAGTTCATCAGCTTTGTAGATGGTATTTTCCTCTTTGTCATGAGTCCGGTCCTTAGCGCTTGAGTGGGGTGAATGGGAAACCATTTTCTAATTTGGCCATGCGCTTCCTTTCTAGTGGCCTGAGTATGCGTCCTGATTATGTATGTGTTCACATATCACAGATTATCCATCTAGACACTGCGACTATGTAGGCCTGCATATGGCTGTCTCCTGTTTCCTAACCACTTTGCTCTTATCACAGGCATAGGCTAGTGGTCCTTTTCTGTGCTCTGTACTGCTACAAACATACACACAGTTCTTTTTTACAATATGGTTTAGCTTCCTCATACTAATTTTAAAGCAAATATTAGATCTAACTTTCTTCTTCTGTATCATAGTTTCATATTCAAATTATTAGATGATATTCTTTTACTGCAGTTTTTTATTTATTCACCGTGGATGTGTGTACGGTATTTGTATGTTCACACATTTTGCATTATTTATTCACCATAATAATTATTACCCCAAGGACATCAGTTCTTCATTATGCCATTTTCATCTATATGCTACCTCCCTGCTGCCATGGAAAACTTCTGACCATGCCTGAACCATGATCATCTGTTCCTGCACCATGTTCCTGCTTTTGTTCCTATTCCTGTCTGCTTCCATAGCACAGCCATCTGCTCCTACCCTAGAGCACTCAATTCCTATATTATGGTTACCACGATACAGATAGGCACATTTGTGTGCACTCTCATGGTTAGGGAGAGATTTTCCAAGTACTGTTCATATTCATCACATTTGTCTCAGCAGACCATAGATATTTCCAGCTATACTTGCCACGGCTCACTGTCACAGTTTCAGTTTATACACCACAGTCACTTGGATTATTACCAAGTTTTTCCCAGTAAATACTTTGTGTGCCGTTTTACTGAGTCCTCCTTTGTCTTTGTTTCATGGTGATCTGAGCATGTTCCATGGCTGTGTGCTCAGTTAGTGTTAATACCTGTTAAAGTGCCATAGTTCTCTGCACAAACAACAGATACAGGGCCCATTCTGTGAATCTTTGCGACCTTGCCAATGCTTCCTGCTCTCGCAATATGCTCTTTACAAATTATTTTCTAATTGTGGCAAAAAGCATATAAAGTGTGCTATGTTAACCATTTTTAAGTATATGGTCTTGTAGCATTAAGTATATCCACCTTGTGCAGCAGTCCAGTGGCATGTGTCACATTGTACACTCCGTCTTAAGAGTGTATATCAGTGACCTCTTCTCTTGTTTTCTAAATGTTAGACTCATACACTATGGATTTCTGACATATATGATTACCGAATGCTGTGGTTGCCAGAGGGGTACATATTATGCCCGACTTCTTCTATATTTTAGTGTGTGATGGCTATTTTCTAATGCATAATGGTTATTTGAATATAATTAGTTTTGATTTCATATAATATTATCTTCTTATACATCACACCGTATATCACACCTCTTTCCTCCCAAATTATGAACACTTGTTTCTGTGTCATCATCACTTATTCTTTGTGTGTTGGCTTTCTACTTGTATAATGTCATTGAAGCATAGCCCATAGCTATGTACTGGAGTAGCATAGTTGAACACATATAGTTCATGGTGCTTGATCGTCTTCTTTTTTACCCATGATTGTTACACATGAACTCATGTTTTCTGAGCACGCATCATGCACAATGATTATTTCTTAAAGTCTATAGTTTGTTTTCAGAATTTCGAATTTATATCCTGTACCACATTCTCTCTGTTCCTGTAGAATAGTTGTCAACTCCAATTCCTGTGTCATGATTATCTGAGCATTAACTCCTGTCATGTGATCATACAACATTAGAGTCTACAAGGCACTGTGGGTATTTGAGCACATGCCAGGGTTACAGCTATACAATGGATGTTGCTTACACTCCAGAGTTGTCTGATCACGCACCATATTTTCTCATGCAGAGTATTTTTCTGAATTTAATTCAGAAATTGCCAGTTTGTTTATTTGTGTAAAATGCCCAACACTCTTATATCTCATGAATAATGAATGCCATAGCACATATACTAGGTTAAGCCTAAAAAAAATATGTTTTCTGTAACAAAAATTATCAAATATTGACTACATCCTGTAGTGCAATCTAATGCCACAGGTATATCTACCATTGATGTAGACCTTTTGTCTTGTCAGAAGTCCATTTTCTCTAGTATTACAGTTTTTCATAAACCAGAACTGGATTCATGAAGATAGCTTAATATAGACTCCAGTGACTAATTTTTTGGGAGAATGGATTTAGAAGGTTTTTCTCTTAATCTTTCCACCAGTCAGAATAGCTCCCTAGCCTGTATCTGTTTTGTATATTGAACTACTGCATATACTTTCCTTACAAATGGTTCAATATCCCTCCTTTCCCTCCAAAAATTAATTTATTGACAATGAGCAGTATTGACTCAAGAGTTAGGTCTTTATATGCTCAGTGTTTCAAACTGAAGGAAGCAACACAGTTTAGAGATAGCAAGTAAGTGTAAGTCTTGAGTGAACCTCCACTAGTCCAGAGTTCATTAACCAGCCAGCACTGCATGTTGGCAATTCCAAATCACAGATTCTACTATTGATACATTTTAATGTCCTCTTAGGAACTTCTATGCCAGGATGCTGGGCTTGGATTTCTTTATGCTATAATTGCTATCTTAAGGAACTTGCTTTCCCCTCAAATTTCTCTTAACTGAGGAAATACTGCATTCTTATTCCAGAGCCATGGTGTCTCGTCATTCAGTATTTTCTCACCCCGATTCAGAGAGAACAGTATCTATTCCAGGCACTCTGACATTGTGGAAAATTGCTTAGCTCTATCAATATGAAAAATCAATCCAAAAATGCTGTAAAGAGAATCTTGGTTTTAATATACTAGAATTTTATATATCATAACTCAATTAACCAAGGCAAAGTCCTTTGTGATGCTACAAATAAAACAGGATTGAGGGAAAGTAAAACGAAGACATGAGGAACAATTTTAAGCTCTTAGATTTTAAGTAACTGAGGCTGCAGTTGTACCACTCACCTATATAGGAAGACAAGGGAAAGAGGTGGGACTATATTAAGACTCTTGGTTGCTGATGTGGAGCTCTTTATACTATTCTATTCATCTATTGTGGATGGATTCTCACGGTATCCAGAAGAAGTGGTAGATGTTGGGAATGACTTTGGTTGCATTGGTAGGCAGAGCAGACGGGTGGTCAAGTTAAACACTGAGTAAGTGGATACTGCGGAAGTTAAATGGTCCCAATAGAGTTTAATATATTTTTTACCTCTTCCTCCTCCCTCCCTTTGTCTCTACTCTTTTTTCCTCCCCCTCCCCTGTACTGTGGCTCTCACAGGTCTTTCCAAGTTGGCGTCTAAGATGATCATCACACAAATGTGTCTCCTCTACAGTACCAGCTTTGGGCTTCTTTTCCTGATTAGTATTCTCCCTGCAACCACCGGCCAAGGGGAATCAAGACGGCAAGAACCTGGAGACTTTGTGAAGCAAGATATTGGAGGGTAAGAAGCTTTAACTGTTGGAACAAAAGATGAATGCATTCAATGCTTGTATCAGATACACACGTCAGACATTTCCCCTGCATGCACCCGAGCACCCTGCTCTTGGGTACTTGTACATCACCCTGCATATGGGAAAAACCATGAGAGCTCAGACTGTCCAGGTGGAAAGTGATGTCACAGTCCTCTTGAACAACTCCCTATCCCAGGCCTGCATCCCCTCCGTGTTATCTTAAAAGCAATTCTCACCAGCCTTTTCCTATGAATTTTATTTCTTCTCTTTTAGGTCTTCACCTTGCCTTTTTATTGGCTCTGGTCATTTAGCATTTAAACACAGGGATCTTCTATCTGAAACTGAACAGTCTGCCCCCCGATAGTGCTGTATGTCTTGCCTTCCCCCTCATCATTGTACTTCTGCAGAGTGCTGTGCTCTGTTGTCTCTGCTTACCTCCCCTCCATTCCCTCACCCACAGCTCTCTGACTTCAGCCCGTGACCCCAAGGCAACTTCTGCCAACATGAATAATGGTCTGCCCTTATCATTCAGTTCCTTTAGTGGCATGGAACGATATTCAAGGTTGGTGACCTTTCCTTCCTTAACTTTTCAAAGTCATAAAATAAAGCATACATACACATACATCAAATGTACACATGTACTATCACCGTAATTATTCCTTTGACTTCAGAGACACGACTTCTGGGTGTTTTGATTAAGTAAGGCATGACAAAAGGATTCTTTTATTTATGTCGATAGAATACAAGTGGCTATTAACACTGAAAATATAAAAAGCAGTCTTCTATGAAAAATAAAACAACATTTTATAATAAAATATCCAGAGAATAATAATAGTTAATACACTGTGCATCATAATCTTAAAAGAATGGCCAAATTACTACTCTGACTGTAAGTCATAGACGAAAAAAGACTCTTACAAAGAACAAATAAACAGATAAAAAGCACACAACTTTCTCTTCAGTGAACTAAGGAAGACTAATAGTGTAAGTCAACCAAATTAGCATAGAGGTTAACCATTTAACACTTTACTGCATGCCTCACTTGCTTGTTTAAGTACTTTACCTATCCAGAGGGTGGCCCAGACAGGCATCATTTCAACCAGCCCATTCTTGTTTGTGTGAGACACACTCATACTTGTTTTTATATTTCCTGTTATATTGTCTTACAACAATTAATGAAAAAATATGAAATTTGTGGTCATCCTGTATTTAAATAATTGGATTGGTAAGTGGGTAAAGTATTTTTGAAGCAATTGCTTAGATATTTGGGGAATTATTTGGACTTCTCCCTACTTATTTGTCTGTCTTCTATTTTGGTCTCTCTATCTCTCATTTCTCATGTAAGAGAAATCATATGACATTTAAGCTTGTGTGTCCGTTTCTTTCCCTTAACATAGTGGTCTCAAGATGCATCCATTTTCCTACAGGTGACCCCACTTTTCCTTCTTTATGGCAGAGTAGTGTTTCATTGTGTGTAAACACCACATTTTCTGCATCCATTCATCTGCTGATGGGTATATATGGTTTTTCCAAGATCTGGTTACTATACCGTGCTGATATAAACATGGGTGTGTATGTATCCCTGGAATAACTTTCACTCTTTTGGGAAGATACCTAGAAGGGTAATAACTGTATCAGATAGAATTTCTAGTTTTAGGTTTGTGAGGAATCTTTGCACTGATCTCCACACTGCTTCCACCAGTCTACACTCCCACCAGCAGTGGAGAAGGGTTCCTTTTTCCCCACAGCCTCACCAGCAGCTATTATTATTTAATTTCTTGTTGATAGCCATTTATTCTGGGGTAAGAAGATATGTTAATATACTTCTAATTAACATTTCCCTGGTGGCCAGAGATGTTGAGCATTTTTCCGTGTATTTATTGGCCATTTTGTACTTCTTCTGAGAAGTGTCTATTTATTTCAGTTTCCAGTTTTTTTGATTGGGCCTTTTATTTTTGGTCTGATTTTTTTGAGTTCTTTATATATTCTAGATGTTAGTTCTTTGCCTGGGGAGCACCTGGCAATTTTTTTCCCATTTTGTAGGTTGTTTCTTCACTCTTGTTTTTTTCTTTGCAGAAGCTTTTAAATTTGATATGATCCCACTTACTGAATCTTGCTGACAAAAGGAGGCTGAGAGAGTGCTCTCTGGGGAAAACTGAGGAAGTAAGGGCAGCGAGGTAGGGAAAGGGGAGGAGTTAAGCAAAGGTGCTGTTTCACTGGCCTGGAAGGGCAGCCTTAATTTGACCCCATGGGAAGCTACGAAGCATAAATGGCACTGCAGCAGAGGGGCCCAGGCTTCTGCACCCTCCTCTCTGTTAGTCATGCGCTGAGGGTCTGCAGAGCAAGGCAGAGCCTGCCTGGCATTCTCCTCTCTTGCAGGGCGGCTGCCTTCAGCAAAAGCTGATTCACTTAAGTGGCTCCAGCATGGTTTCACTGGCCCAGTAAAGAGGATCTGGGCATGCTAAATACCTGCTTTCCTTTCTATTTTAGTGGTTGTGCTTTCTACAACATTTCTCATGACATTGTGCAACTCTCTCGAAGGTCTTCATGTTTAAACATATTTTGTAATCTTCTTTCCCTTTGCTGTTCCTTTTGGTCAGTATTTTTCTTTATTTTCTTCTGTGTGCTTTTTTACCATATGGAGCTCTGAGTGACTTCATCCATTCTGGTGATGTCAATACCTTGGATCAATACCAGTGGCTCGTGTCTTCCTCTCCAGTTGGACATGTCCACTTGGTTACTCTACAAGCTCCTAAAACTAAGCTTGCTCAAAGTTACCACATCATCTCTGTCTCCTACCCTCATCTTAAAGAACAAAAAAAAAAAAAAAACAAAAACAAATGAACGAGCAGAAACCATTTTCCATTTTCCCTCGTTTAGTCAGTGGCGCTGCCATATATCCAGTTGCTTAAACCAGAATCTTGGAATCATTTTTTTTCTAATTTTCTAAACTTCACTTTCTGGGTTTAATCACCAAGATTTGTTATTTTTACTTTCCACCTCCCTTGGAATCTTTCACTTTTCTCCCACTTTCCTACATATTATTTTGTCCACTGTGAGATCCTTGAAGCGGTCTTTCTTTCTGAAGTCTTGCTGCTTTCTAAACCAGTCTCTACTCTGTAGCCAGACTTTCTTCTATAATGCATGTTGAGTCATATGTACCCTATTTAGAGCTCTTTAATGGAGTCCTAACAATTTTTAGTCTAAAATCCCATCACATCTAGAGAGTAGTATTAGTAGAGCTGACTTGCGGGTTTGAAATATTTTAGTACTACACAGGATATTTGATTCCTTGGTAGGACCCTTTTTTATTTTGTTTTACATTTGGCTATTGTTTCTTATTCCTGGAAACATGTTTCTTAAAGTAGAGCATGTTCCTAATTATTTTTGCAAGGTTATTTATCTTAATGTACTCTGAGCCTTTCCATCTTCTATCAGCATTTTTACAGTAATCTCTTGGGTTGAGGGTTACAGAATTGGACCTCTGTATCCTTAGAATCTTGGCATATGTGTGTCTTTTTGTTCCTTCCTCCAAATGGAAAATTGAAATAATTCTGTAGTATAACTCATCATATATCTGATTTCATGAAAGATGTTCTAAATAAGGAGGTCTGATATAATCAAATGTTGCCTCCTCAAGTGTTAAAGCTTTTTATGACTTAATTCTAAAAATGTATTGTATATTTTCTTATAATTCTAAGAAATCACCCCTTTTGGTGCTTTTGATTTTTGTAAAGAATATTTGTTATATTCATTCTGTATCTGCTTTTTTATGTTTATCTCTATCCGCACTGTTAGTTGTCACCTTTCCCGTTTACATTGATTTGTTTTCATCCTATTAGTGCTTAAAAAACCCAGATAACCAAGCCTTTTAACAGTTATACTAAAGAGGAGGCCAAAATATCCTGCCTGAAAACTCAGAATAAAATTCTTTGTTTTAATTCAGGGGCATAATGACTGCCTAAATTAGAAACATTTTTTTGTTTACTTTGTTCCATGTCCAACACAATTTATGCTTTGGAGGGATGAGACTACTAAACTCTTGCCTCTGTATATTAGGATCAGCACTGTATTTTTATTTGCTAGAAACAAAGGAACCAAGTAAACATTAAATATATAGCACATGCTGATGGTTCTGCTACTTAACAGGGCTGCTGCTTCCTTTTGCCTGTTTTCATACCTTTTAATTATGTTTTGTATTTTGAAGAAATCCATTTACTGCCCCATTTTACCCAGCTTCAGTGGTTTATTTTATTGAATCACCTGGTTTTGCTGTCCCAGCAGCTTTGGCACTAGCTAGTGGTTCACCGACTAGTACTTTATATAAATCACATACTAAGTGCAGTGATGAGATCTCGTGTGAAGCAAGAGTGCAGCCTCCACACTTGAGGACTGTGTTTTAGAAGCTCTGAAGAGAGCGCCTGACAATTTTTACTTCATGCCCCAGATGATTCTAATATAAAGAAACTCTGGTCAGTACTTTGGGGTCATAGTTCCGGTTTTCAGGGTACTAACAGTAAGTTAGGGATATGAGATTCTGGGGTTTTAGAATAACAAACATTGAAAACCCCATTGTGAGCACCTAATTTGATCCCCATTTTGTATGTGAAGAAAGTGAGGTCCAGAAAGGTGAATTGACTTTCCTAAGATCTTAGGAATATTTAGGAGTAGAGCCAGCTCTGGAAAACCACTGTCTGATTCTAAGTCCCATATTCTTAAGGAAAAACACAGAGAACAATTTCAGAAGTCTATAATAAATATACTTCTTATACTCCTTCCTGGTCCTGCACTTAACCATCAATAAGAATTACATGTATTATGTAACTTGAACCATCTTGAAAAGTTATTTTTCTGGGTAAAAATGGTCAAATATCAGCAATTTTCTAGTGGGTCAACAGTTAAGGGCCTAAGTATCAAGTAATTATCAAATGAATCCTGCATTCAGGCCTGATTGCAATTTTTTCATTCAAATAATACTGATGGAACACTCCGATAGATTACTTGAGGAGGGTGGATTTGTGAAGACAAACACCATGATGTGTATAGGGGAACCGCAAGGAATACAGAAAGAACCTCAGGCCAGCAGCAGATGTGTGATATGAAACAAGCTCAAGATTTCAAGGGTCAGAAAGCTTTAGTGGAGGAAAGAGCCAGTCTGAGATTTTAGAACAATACCATGCAGGCATTACATGCCCACACCTTACCCTTCTTCTGACTTTCAGCCAAGCCGACCAAATTCAAACTGGAACCAGAGGTCAAGAAAGCCCTGTTAATGTAGCTCCTAGGTGCCATCCTTCTGGGAATGAAAGCAGAACTGCAAGAGTGGAGAATGTATCTGGAGGGCCAAATGAAAGACACTGGGGACTAGGTCTCATCCTTGCCCACTTCATAGTGCAGTGAAGACCAGGATTTAGGAAGGATGAGGCACTGCATTCACACTTTTTCTGATCAAGATTATGTGGCGGTGGCAGTGGTGATGGCCAGGGTTGGGAACTGAAGAGGGCGTGGGAAGCAGCTCATCATTTTCTTGTCAGATGCACAGCATGGCTCGGTGTCACTAGA